GGTCTCCTCCCGGGAGATGTTCCAAAACATTTCCAGAGTAAGTCCTCGGCGTGTGTTGGTGTCATCAGTGTGTTGTGTGTCGAAGAAAACAGAATTCCTTTCTTCGCTTACGATATCGGCGTCTCTCTCGCTTCCTTTCGTGTCTGCAGCGATTCTTAGTCGAGGTACCGCCAATGTTTCTTAATGATCTCTTGAATTTTTATTTTCCATGCTTCTTATTAATTATGATTGAGAACTGTGCCAGGGTTTTTTGCTCGAAACTGTGCCGGGAGCCCCGCTGGATTAACACATTCATCGCCACGTGCATGAATGTTGGAATTTTTTGCTCACACTGGTCTACAAAACTACCCGCAATGGTTCAATGATACTTAAATCAAATGACTGTGCTTATCAGTGAACTTGAAGTATACCTTAGTGTCCCTCGAACCGATATCGGTAGTTATCTAGACTGCCTGTGTAGAGATGCATTTTCATTTTAAGAAATAGTACGCGAGCCATTGTAAGCCAATACCTTCCTTACGGTTGTTTAATCATTTTGGAAAGGGAAGGGTGATGAGTCTTCCTTCAGACTGTGTCGTAAGTTTAAAAAGGTTAGGAACCATTGATTTATTGGATGCTTCGGTGGGATACGTTGGGACGAGGACGATTATGCAGATCTTCGATCGTTTCTTTTCTCTCCCCTCTTTCTCTCGAACGCTCTCCCTTTTCGACGCGTCCCTTGAACGCGTGCACGTCCATTATCGGGCCTCGTTAAGAGGACAGGAAGCTTTTAAAGGATTCGGATAACGAACAACGAATTTCTGTGAGGTTTAATGGACCGTCGCCACCGGGAACGGGTAATCTGTGTGCTTCCAACTGGAAGCACCGAATTCATCTGATTTCTGTAACAGCCACGCGTGCCTGATTCATTTCTTGACAGCTATGTTGCGTCACGATGTCTTCTGAAGTTGTTATTCGTGTTTGTTGCGCGACGAAGACTCCCCTGTATTTTTATTTATTTATTAAACGGAGACATCTCTTCTATAATTGCACATTATTTAATTTTCTAAAGATAACCGGCTGCCTTTGTGCTCGAAGAGTAGATGAATCAAAGTTGTATAAAAGCGTTTCTTGTGTTTCTAGTTTTCGAACAAGGTGACATTACAAATATGAGTTTTATATTTTTGCAGTTCTCGCTGGTAACCGCCAGATATCCCTGCGACGAATTTAAATTGTAAATGAAAGAGAATCTTCTGTCCTTTTTCTACGATAAATATTCGATCGTCTGGTAATTATGTCGCGATCCTTGAATATTTTCGAACTAATTTCAGTTGCCCCTTCGCATTAAGTAGTGCTAAATCGACACTAATTATTCGGTTATGGGTAACTTCGGATCTTTTATTGTAGAAGCAATTACTATTAAGGAACCGCTATTGAATCAAAAGTTAGACACCTTTTAAGGGATATACAATTTTTTAGAGTATAAAATCCGTTTGTTTCTCTTAAGTTAAAGACGATTCGGGTAGCCTGTATTTTTTATCGATCAGGAATATCTTCGATTCAGGAATGCATATATCACCAAAGTTCCGTACATATACTAAAATTACTTAAAGACATCTAAATTGAAGTGAGCGTGCTAATACTTTCTTTACCGATTCCATGTCTCCCTATTAGTTCGGATACTGCGTGTTCCATTGTACTTTGAAATTCGAACCAACCTCGAATTCTCGATAGTGGCTCTATCTGTTAATAACAGGATGAAAGTAAAAGCGTTTCAGGATCTGGAAGGCAGCCTGCGCGTAGACTTCACTTGGAACAGGCGAGCAAAAGGCTATCGGAACGAAGGGGCCAAATTAACTTATTTGCAATGTAAATAATACTACGGCAAAATAACCGTATCGATATCAAATAATATAAACCTGATGCAAGTCCAGAGCGCTCGTATATCTTTCAATCGTGGTGAGAGCGAACTTATAAATATCAGACGAACTTGATCGCGCCTACGTCGATAACAAACGCATAGAGAACCATCGAACGGGAGTATGTTAAATTATTCTATTTATGTAGGATAGAACTGCTTCACGGTCGAAACGCGGAAGGAAAAGGTTCCGTTAGGCGTTGTAATTACCTTCATTATGTTCCACGCAAATTGGTGCGCATTTCACTGAGACGATTCATAACACTCTGTAAAATATCGTTGCTACCTTTTAGCTACTATTCTAAGCGCCGTCTAATTTTGTTGAGAGTGCAGTAAACGTGTTTTTACATTAATAAAAGCTGGAGTTTCCATCGAGTTTTTTTAAAGGAATTAACTAAAAGTATCTACTTTAAGTTCCATGAACTCTGTCACTAAACTTAACTTTCTTGAACTCTGAGGATTCGCCTATCGACGAGCTTTCTCGAAGCATTTTTGTCACAAGCGCCTGAGATTCGATATCGAGTCTTTCACACTATCGGTATTAAGTTCCTTACCGGGTGGTTGATGTTCGTTCTCGTTTCGATAATCTGTCCTTTCTATTTGTAAAAGTTCAATGACGCCTACGCTGCTTTCTTGATAGCTGAACCGTGAAGACGCTTGTCTCGCGAGCACCGACAATGGACACGTCCGAAGCTATTAGGAGCGGTCAGATAACTGGAAAATTGCATCGGGGGAGCTAACAAACGAAAGTTACTCGAGCTTCTCGACGAGATCGCGCGCGATTAGGTACAAATACAATTATAACTTCCAGGTTTGTTAAACTCGCGGGCCTTTCCTCTCACGGCGCGCTCTTCCGATTTGTTCCATGTATACCTTTTGCTGCGGCTTTCTGCCTTTCTCTCGCGCAATGGACGAAATAAGGACTACGTGGCGGCTTTTACCGATCCTTTATCATTCGAAAAAACACGGAAATATGTATTAAAAAGAAAAGGCAAATACGTTTACGTTCGAAGAATTTAGAAAATTTAATCTTTGAAGTAACCTAGAAAAATGACGATCATTATTTTCAATCTAACAGCTAAGTCAGGAGGATATCATGGCTCGTAAGTTCTGCAAGAAGCAGCCACTGGTCTCGATCCAGTTCTGCGCAATTAACGCAAATATGTTTCGGCACGGTGTTGCTAGCTTTCATCGAAAGTGAGAGGAGAAAGAAGGCTGGGCAAATAATGATATTACTTTTTCGCCTTTGCGACTTACTGAACCGGTTTAATCGCCCTTACGAGAGGACCGTCTCACCATCACCGATTAAACCCGATACTTCTGCTCTCGGATAAACGTTCCATTACGCTTGCTTAAACTGGCACACCCACGCCGAGGAGAATCAAGGGTACCTTTCAGGAATCGTGAACTGCAGGCACGTGTGACGAACGTTCGCTCACACGATGGAATGGAATAAGTATAAAGTAGCCAGGTGGTGGTAAAAAAAAGTACTCAATTCGAAGGTTAACAGTTTCAGATCCAGGTAAAATCCTCTGTATAGGATCAACGTCAAGTTTGGATCCAAAAAATAATCACGTGTTTGATAACTCAGACCAAATACAGTAACATTTGGACAGAGAGCTTTCCGAGATGAGGCCTTGTCCTATTCGATTAAAGGACGAGACAACAGAATCCCTCGTTGACCGTAGAACGTGACAAATGTTCTTTTTACAGAGAACGTCAATGTGACGTCTTTTCCCGCGTGTGCGTGCGAACGAGACCCCAGATGATCCAGATTAGTCCTTTTACTTCGGACGTTCTTTCAGTCTCGGCGGGGTAATCCTTTCACCGCCCTCTACCCAGCCGCGAGTCGTCCCAGCCAGCTCACGTTTCAGAATGCCGATTGCTCTCACTATTTTCATACCAGGAAATCGTTCGCCGAGGCCACGTATGAAATGCTATTTCCTATCGTGGTTTCCTCCTCCCGCTGAAAATCCGAAAGGGAACTGGAATTTGGCGCGACGCGAGATAACGCGTGAAAGCATTTCACGTGCTAAAGTTCAACTACGTTAGGTGGTTATTGTAAAGAAGTATCTTTTTTTTTTTTTTAACGAAAATATTAACGATAACGTGATAATTTAGGCCAACGTAGGAAAGGTAATGAATGTTCAACTAGTTTAAACTCTAAAGTAAATGTTTGGTAGTCTCAGAAGAATTCCTAAACACATCTCCAAAGAGACTAGAAAAAACAAATTCTGAAAGTAGGGAACGTGCATCGCGATTAGCCTTGTTAGAGTGCAACTTTTTCAGTGGTCAACCTAGTGAGTTACTTTGCGAAGTCAAGGGGAAGCGATGTCAACGCTGTCATCGGTGAAAGTGCAGTCAAACGTGATCTTACGGGAGATTAACGAGTGATGTGCATTCGTCGAAGCATTTGCTATTGAATTCTTACTTGACCTGTTTACATGGCTCTCTGGTTATGGGAGAAACGGTAGCTTTCCTCGCGACGGGGGTGTCGTCGCGAGGAATCCCGGCAATTACGCAATATCGTATATCTCGCGGCTGACGTTTACGACCAGCGAGTGTTTACACGTTCGAAACACTGATGGCTAGTTATTCATGTTGAGATTACGAGGTACATGCACGCGAGGCTGTGACACAGCGAACACAATCCGCGAAACGTATGTTTGCTGTCGTCCAAATTGTCCAAATCGAACGACAGGTTTGATGTTTCCAAATAAACATGTATGTATATGTGCAAAGTTTGTTCATATACATATTTATTTGAAAGCATTAAATCAATCGTTTAAATTGAACAAATTTCTTCGATATCTATAAAAGGTACTTATTGGACTGACTGTATTTCGATCAAATAAAAGTTTTAAAACGAAATTGAATGAAGTTTCTTTGAATCTTACACATCAAATCTAGACTGCATTGGAATGCATTCCTGAAGAAGACTCCTGCCCGCCCACTCTCCTTTATCGAACAAGCTCATTGATCACGATTATCTGGGTCAATGAACGAACCAATGAAGAACCGCTCGATGGTTACCGAGGGAAGCTGCGCGACGAGGTCAGTTACCAAACGGTGAACATTTTCCCCGCTCGAGAGCACCAGTCGATGGAGGATGCGCCTGCGGAGAGGATCGGCTTCGATTGCACTTGAAATCGAGCGCGAAGACGAAGACCGGACGTTCGCGGCGGTCGTCGAACTCCCCTGCCATGAGAAGAGCGAGGAAAAAAAAAGGGAGAAGCGGAGACAAGATTGGAGAACGCAAGCCAGTCGGAAAGAGAGTGCTTTCTTCGTGAATCGGCGACGGTGAAGGTCCTCGTATATAAGCAACTGCCGGTACAGCAATTGTCAGTGTGACTCGTCTCATCGCAAACACCTATCGGCTTATACCTGTGAACTGGATAACACGATGCTGCGATTAGTAAGTTCATCTAGACAGAGTTGAAAAGGAAGTACTCGAAATCGAGCGACGGTTCATCGAACGTTCGACGAGATGCGGAAGAGATTCCGCTTCCTCTCGCTTCCTGAATCTCTAACATGGTGAAGGTGTTACGTCAGTGACTCGAGGGCTCTGAAAAAAAGTAAGGAATTTAGGAAAGTGTAGTTTCTTGGGGATGTTTTGCTACCTGATCGGCCGTATTTAAAGTGAGTACGTAGAATGACGATTGCAGAGTACCGATCACGAGAAAGCACTTTGAAAATCATTGCTACTCGTAGCCTCAGGGTATCGATATTCAACGCTCTAGTTTGTGGTAAAAAATTTGGAGTGAAAGTTAATCTCAGCGTATCGATCGCTTGCGTAGATCTGTCTTATATATATTATGAATAAAAAAAACTAGGTATATTATCCACTTGACATAGTTGAAACTCGGTTTGCTTTCGATTAAAACCTCGTTAAAAAATTGGGTCACGCGTTCCTAGGCTTTAATCAGGATTTCTCTCTTGTCGCGTTTCGAGTGCTTCCAATCGACTAGTATCTCGCCTTACGGTTTCGACAAGGGTTCGATAACCTTAACACGCGATTGCAACTTTGCAGTTATTGTTTACCTTGGCCGTGACCACCGCGAGGGCCTCTCATTTCTCCTCCTTGGGAGGTTTGGGAGGCCATGGCTACGGCAGCGAGCCGAAACTCATCTCTGAATCGGTCCACCTGAAAGAAATACCCACGAAAATCATCAAGGTCACCAAGACCGCAGTCATCAAGGTTCCAGTGCCGTATCCAGTCAAGGTGCGTACTCTCGACCAAACAAGAACCTTCTCTCTTCATTCTCTGAAATAATTGAAATATTATGAAGTATCCATTAATTTATATGGACTTTTCCTACCGAGTGGTATGTCTGATATTGTTTAACTTTATTGAAAAACAACCGTATAGATTCAAACTTCAGTGGAAATTTACTAAAACATCCAAGCTACTATTTATAAAAAGATTCACGTTGAAATATAATCATGTATTGTTTCACATATGTTTTAACCGAGCCCTAATATGAAAATTATTATCTTCGTCATGCTGCTGCGTCAGGCCTGAGCAACACTCGACCAAGCATCGACATGGCAATAGAAAGCACCCGATCGCAATCCAATCTGAAATTACATCGCGCCAATTTCAGTCATGCCACGCGAGAAGCTTCCCAACGAGAAACCACAATCGCCTAGAACTTGAAAGACGTACACGCACGTACGTGACTCCGAACCACCCTTTCCCTCAGCCCGCGGATACGGAGGATACCTTTTCCGCCCAAGCCAACGAGAGTTGATCTTGATACCAGTCGATCTAGAATTCCTTTCTCTTCATTTGCAGGTGCCCCATCACATACCAGTCCCGGTGCCAGTAAACCATCCCATCGCAGTTCCGTACCCGAAGGTAGTGAAAGTCCAGGAACACTTGCCCGTCGCGGTGCCCAAGCCAGTCCCGATCGAGATTCATCAGCAAGTGCCGTTGGTGGTGCCCAAAGCGGTGCCAATACCGCATCCTATTCCTGTTCCACACCCGGTAGCTGTGCACAAGCCCGTCTTCTACCCGGTACCGCACCCGATACCTTATCAGGCGCACAGCGAATTCGAGGGCGGAGGCGGAGGTGACGGCCACGGCTCGTCGAGCGACCACGTTGGCCACCAGTCGGAGAGCTACAGCTCTTACACGGCGAACGACCAGGGCCACGGTGGATACGATCAACAGCAAGGTGGACACGAGCAGTTCCAGCCTTCTCAGCCCGACTACAATGCGCATTATTGAGTAGTCGCCTTGTATGCTCGCTGGGAAAGATACGACCACGTCGTAAATCGTACAAGTTGCAGGGGTGCGAGTGGACAGAAAAGAGAAAGAGTGATCGAATAAATGGGAGTACTGTGGAAGAAGGAAAGATCAGTCTTGGATAGAATGTGGGAAAGTGTCGGGTCGTTTTTTCTGGCTGGCAGGTCCCGCGGGGTCTGAAAAAGACGCGTTAGAATTCGAGTCGCGATTACTTTCAGGACTGATGTTTCTTTCTCGTGGATCTGGACCTTTCGATGGGTTGCGGTAACGTAGCTAACAGTCGATGACTGTAGCCACGAGAAACAGCGGTTGGTAGTTGAAGAGGGTGTTTTGAAATATTCGATGCCTTTATTGATTAATTGCGCTCCGTATCGTTAAGTCTGTCTTGTTAAGTTTGTAATTATTATTTGTTTTTGTTGATTACTGTTTTCTCTCTGCTATATTTTTCAAATAAACGTTGATGACTATGAAACCTGCGAGCTTGTTGCTATCCTTTCTAGTAACGGGTCGATCAGCTAAAAAGAGAACACCAAGTGAACTGTTAGTGTATTCGAGGTAAACGATAAGTGGTTTCACTTTTCACCGAAGAGGAGAATCGAGTTGAAACGTCTCCTCCTTAAAATCCCAGACACTGAAAAAACAGTATTCCTGGACAGGTAACGCGGATTACTGTTTACGCAACACTGCTCCAGTATCGGGGCCCGCGTGCTCTCGTAATTTGAAAAATCGTTTCAAGGCGAGTAAGGGTCGACCGGTTTTCGTACGAAAAAAGATCTTTATTTCAGTGATGTAAGACGCGCGTCGACTTACGTAAAAAAAAAAAAAATGATTTAAACAATTACAAAATTACATCTAGTGTGTCACAATACGCTCGATCCAAATCGTTCAGTTCTCAAAGGATTGTCCATCGAATCCCCTGATTCGGGGAGAGGATGGACAGATGGGGGACGCATCAGTCTCCTGGTCTAACTTGGGGGAACCAATCTACGCGCTATTGGAGATCAACTAACTGTTCGAAAACGTGATTAACGAGAAACACAAGTGGGTGGGGGGGGGGGGGGGCGGGGTGCGAGGTGGGGGTGCGATCGATGTCCAGCAGTTGCCTTCTGGAGCCTTCGAAATCGTCCTGAATCGTTCTTCCGTTTGGTCGACCTCGAGGAGGCTCGTGGCCAGGTACTTTCTCTGTCAACGGTATCCGACGATGTCGCTTCGCATTGGGATGTGATTGAAACTGGCTCCCCGGGATTCACGACGATGTTGATTTACCATCCAGCAGCGTAAGAGGGCGCCCAGCCGAAGGATTGTTTCTCGACAACGATCGGTTGAGCGACTGGGTACGGGACGTGCTTCACGATTGGAACGGGAACGGGGTGGGGTACCCTGACAGCGTATGGGGCTGGCACTGGAACCTTGACGGGAACGTTGACTGCGTAAGGAACTGGCCTGTCGACGGGGACTGGGATGTTCCTGGTAACCTCCACTGGGTAGGGTTTGGGTACATGGACGGGGTAAGGACGATCGACTGGGACTGCGACTGGAACCTGAAAAACACGAGACGATCCATTAGATAAGTGTCGTAGGTTATTATTGTCTTCGCGTTTTATTTTCACTTCTATCGGAGAATTTTTAATGAGTTATTCTAAAAATCTGTAACATGTATACCTCCCTCACGACGTTCGTAATATAAAGGTCGAAAACTACGAGTAAGTACATATGAATGCATTTATTTCAAAGAACCACGCAATCCCTGCAATTATCAAGTATTCAACCTAGTAGATTGCATCTTATCCGATCGCAACGATTTACGGCGGCGATCGGGCGAGAATCGCGGTGGAAGTTGATCTAAACGGAGTACGATGTTTTCCAGGAAAGCTAATACGCAACCATGTTATCTGTAACGTTTTCGAATTACGAAATCCCAGCACTCGTTCGGATTGAAACGTTAATTAACGATCGACGATCGCCGCTCGAGCAGATATCGCGAGATAAACAGAGCGTGATTGGACGATGACCGAGATCCTCTCATTTTATCGAGCCGATAGCCTTGATTTCGTTACGTTCGCGAGACAAATTTTGGTTTCGTATGCAAATCTTCCGGATCTACGCGGAACTGTTTGGGAATAGCAATCCGGAGATTAGGTCATTGGTGATTTTACGCCTGGACGACAATTTAATCGCGATTGAAATTGTTTAGTGAACGTATTCGTACTCTTTGTATTTTTCGTTAGACCTAACGATTAGACAAAATTTAAGTTCATTAATTACTTTTCAGATTAGCGAACAGAAATAAATTCAATCGATGGTACAAAGATTCAAATACGATATTTAACATAAACTTAAAGAGATCTTACTTTAACAGGAACGGCGATGTGTCTGTCGACAGGAACAGCTACTGGGTGCGGTACAGGAACAGCTACTTCCTTGGTCACGACAGTGGAGACACCATGGCGGAGTCCATAGGTTGGCAGGCTCGAGTATCCATTGAATCCTATGCTATTGAGACCATAACCATGCGACAGTCCTATACCGCTGTCCAGACCATATCCCAGTCCGAAGACTCCTCGTTTGCTTTTTGGTGTCTCGTCCGCTTCCGGCTTCTTCTCCTCCGTTATCGGCTTCGTCTCCTCCGTTACCGGCTTCGTCTCCTCCGCCAGGGCCACTGCTACCAGGGCGAAGACGACGAATAGCTGCAAAGAAGACATGGAAGTTTGGTTAAAATAATGATTAATATATGGAATACCGGTTAAAAATATTTTGAAGAGCATAAAAGTCTAAACGAGAAATTGAAAATATAAGTAAACGAATAAATGAAGGGGTTGCTTGAAATGGCTAGTGGAACACCAAGTTCCTGCCAAAGGATAAAATACTACGACGTTCTAACGAGCGAATTACAACGGTTAGGCCACTCTCGAGGGAATCAACCCTCCGCAATCGAAACGGTCTCCGATTCCAGGGGTAGGCCCTGGAATCCTCGGCAGAGGCTGAAGCATGCTCGGGACCAAGAAAATTCGTGTGCTCACCTTGGCGTTCATGGTGCTGCTGAATCGGGCTTGGTGCGTCGTGGTTTTGCGACTGATGGAATACCAAGAAGATCCTCTGCTTTTATACGTGTGGGACGAACCCTTGAACAGGACGGAGGTGGTGGGCCAGTGGCGAGTCAGAGAAACGGTGAAAAGAAATTGGGCGTGGGGAGCGTGCAGGGGATCCCCGAAAAGCGTTCCAAGGCAAAGCTCTTCGCGCTCCTTTTTCTTGCGAAAGATAAATTATATATCCCCCTCCCTCTCCCCCCACCACTTGATTAATACTTTGGATGGTTGGTCTTCAGTTCGCTGCCAGTCATCTATTCGGCTGCGTCAGGGTGCCTTTTGGACGGGTGCATCGTTTTATTCTAATCTTCTCTTTTTTGAAGTGCATTTGATGTTCTAGTGACGTCAGCAGCGAGAAATAACCGGTGCATCCGACTGCAGGTTCGTTCTTTGCTACTATAGCTCGTTAGTTGAAGTTGGGGATGCCTGGACATCGTTGCCCGATCGTGGAGTCGCCAAAGTATCGAGGTTCGAGGTTTGATATGCTTTATTTCAAACTGTACACTTCGTATATGATTTTTTTGTAAAAGTGTGTCTCATAAAATGTTGCTGTAAATATTCGTAGCTGACCTCGGTGCCACGTTATTTATAATATCTTTTGACCGATCGAGATCGCGCAAGTCTGTTGGCAAAGGCGCAGAATTCTTGTTCAATTTCAGGTAATTTTGCTCGTTAATCGACACCTGTCCGAAGTGGAAAAGTATAGCGTGTCAGGCTGTCCTCATTTTAAGATCCTCGTTAACAGTCACGTAGACCCACGTAACAGCCACTTCACGATATTTAACACGATTTTATCGAGTCGCTAACATTTACGGGAACATAAACCGAAAGCGAAATGTTGTTGTAAACATTTGTAGTTTGCCACTGTATCGTTTTCTCAAAGTAAAACTAAGTCTTTGTGCTAATGGAGTGACGTGAGCTTTGAATTTTCGAGTCGACTCGGCGGAACACACCTGAAGTATTAAAAAAAAATTAAGGGTCAACCATAAAATGTCAAAGAAAGAACCCGGCGGTTTTAGCGGCTCGAAACGCTGTTTGGTCTATTTTGAAAGGAGGAGATTAGAATATCGTTGGGGTCCTTTTAACGAACTTTTTTTCCAAATAGAACTTGGCGTTCAGGATAATCACGAGAGCGTAAATTTTTCTTAACGATCCAGACGTGGTTCATTTGAATTAGAACATCCGAATCAGCTCGTTCGGGTGATCTCAGATGCTTTTTTTTTGATGTTCTTTAGTTTTTAAATAACAAAATTGCTTCGCCATCGGATCACTCTTAATGTTTTAAACATGCATCGGGCATCTTCGAGTCGATTGATGGGAAGCGTCTTGTTTGGTAATGCTTCAAGTCGTAAACAACCAATCCCAATGGTTTTATTTTGAATATATACATGAATTTTTAAATCCACGAATGGTTATGAAAGAGTTATTTTATAATATATTATTTAATAAAATACGTGTAACCAAAGGTAAAATAGAATTGTTAATTGTATTCCATCAAATGAATCGAGGAACCGTGTGTTGTTCTATTACATCATCGACAATGTATAGGCAGACATTTTTGGAATTTCCAGACCATTTATTTATGTAGTTTATTTTGACGTCCCAACAGTCGTAATTTAGATTTCCATCAAGCGATTTATCTTTCGATTGTGCAATCCGCGTGACGTTGTTGTAACCGAATGTCACGTTTAATAGGTAAATGAATCGAAATTATAAATTTATTTACACATACTAAATAGTATTTCCTGAGTAGCTAGTAAAACATTTCAGTAATCGATACGATCATAAACATCGTCCTACGTGAACAGTCTAAAAATAAGACGATCGACTTGGATGATTCGCAGAGCAAAAAACCGGATCCTACTCCGAAACTTCACTTGGGAATTCCGTGTGTTCTCGAAACGACGAAAAGCTTTTTCGGGTGTCCTTGACCCGCGTTTCTGTGGCAAAGAGGACGACGAACTAGTCTGCGCCAACAGGTCCGTGTCGCGTCTGGAATTAATTGTTTTCGACCGATGTTGTAAATTTGCGAACTTTGCGTGTGACATTTTGAATAATGCCGGGATGATGCTCCTCTCGGGGAATGCCAGCTTGTTACGGGGGAACGACTAGACAACCTAGCAGCAGGCTGAGATACGAGAAAAAAGGGATCTGTTCGTGGAGATTTTGCGCCAGTGGAGCCCCCAGAGCTAACACTCTGTCTGGCTCGTTCGAGGGACGTTCAGCATTCCCAGTCAGACGGTTCTGATCAGATTCTAAACACCGACCTCCCTCTGGTTCACCTTATTCTTGTTAAGTCGATTGTTATTTTGTACCGTCGGCGTCGATGATTCATCGTCCTAGTTGATATGAATTTACAAGTACATCTCGAGTTACACGGATTCGTGGGGTACGTGATTCTGGCCAATTTATCCCCCTAATGCGTATTTTATAGCAACAGCAAGTCTCAGAAGCGAATCTGCAGACTCGAAGATACTACCAAGGATTTTTTTAGATTTCTAAACCCTTGGTGGAACGAGTTAGTGGTTAGTGTTACAAGGTCTTCGGTACTTGGGACAAATATTAATTTCCTAGCGCGCATGATTTATTTCTTCTAAGCGTACGTGCACCAGGAGTACCTTTGTCCGAAGAAACGCGTTCTATTCTAGTTTCGCGAATAACTTTCGCAATATAGAACCGCGAAAGGGAGTGAAGGTCGACTGGAGCTCAAGTTCACTTGTCAACTTTCATCAATGTTGTATGAGTTTGTTCGTGATGCAACAAGTCGAGCATAGTCGGTACTTATAAGGGGTGTAGATGGTAAATTTATCTTTATCGTCTTCATTTCAATCATTCCTTAAAGAGCAAAAAACCTGGTGGTCAATTAACACCTCTGCTTGGTAAGAATTTAAGACCCATCCTAGCCTGGAACGCCAAAAATATTTATTACAAAAATATTTATTACCTGAAAAAATTCAGAAGGTACATTTTATAGTCTCTAAACATATGGAATATAAATGTTTCTACTTGTGTGCGTTACATTTTTTGTTAGAAAAGAATCCCCATAATTGCTGAAATAATCGCCGTTTTAATGGGAATCCCCTCTTAATTCCGCCGTCCTTCGTTAAAGTTGTTGCTCGTTTTCGTTCGATCAACAGTCCCCGATTGTATTCCCGTCTGCTTTCGCCTAATCGAGGAGACTCGACCGAAAAGAGATACAATTTTTGGAGGGAGGAGCGACGCGAAAAAACTGCGGCGAGAAACACGCACGTCGCACGTTGCATAAATCGTTTCTCGGTCGATTTCAACACCGGAAACTTGGCTCTGTCTTCTTCCCTTCTTTTTAACGTACAAGTCTACGTGGTGCGTTTGTTTACGAACTCAGCATGGATCCATTCTTCGCGATTGCACCACCGCGACACTGTCCGTCGAAGCGAACAAAAATTCCGGGTTCGAATCGCGTCAATTTCAGGCAGACAAGTTGCTGAAATTTGAATATTGAGAATTTTAATGGTTCCAAAGTGAATAGATTATGAATCGTTCAGAAAAGAATTTAAGTCGATGACTGTTGGTTTTCGCGCGGTACGATCGCGAATGCAATAGTGATTTGTACGCTCGGGAGATTTCAATGCGTCGCGACAGCAAAGGAGAGGTGCTAAATTGTACCGTCCGGCTCGGATTTTTCGTGTGTGCAGAAATGCTGAGAATGACGTTCGAGCATTGATTAAGGGAATAAATATTAATGAGACAGCAGGCAAAATAACTTCAAATTCAATTTGTGTCTAGACTTGACAACTGTTTACAGGACACGTCAATAAATAGTGTGTTTTAAAAAGTTACTCTAAAACAAGGATTACTAACCTTGACTTTTAAAAGAATCTGTTAAGTAGAAGCTACAATAAATTTAATTGAATATGGAACGTTTTATATTAAAACAACAACATCGTTATTTTAAACGGACTTCTCTAATATCAACAAACAAAAAAGGAGGAAGTCGGGGATTTCCGAGTCTTGAGAAACAAAAGGAGGAACGACAAACGTTACAATTTCTCATTAATGAATTTCCGTGAATACTGTAGTAATTCTTTACAAGGAAACTGTATGAAATACCTACTGTATCAAATAATTCCTTATACCAGACATTCCTCGAATAAACGGTACTACCGATGGCGTAACGCATTCCCGTACATATATCACAATTTAAGCATCTTTATTAACCGTACACGCGGGTAGTGTACAATTTGCTTCATTTCAAATGACCAAAACGATTTCACGATTGGCTTATCGCGTGCGGTAATGTACAGAAACTTCACGTACGACTCGCGATGGATCCCGTATCGCACCGATTCACGACACCGACCACGTCGTTTATTGTCATGAAAATGAGCATGATCGAGCCATTATTACACGTCTGATTTCACCTTGTCGGCCTGTGTTCCGTCCAGAAAGAAAGTCGACTTTGTCCGGTGGTCGGTGTCGATATCGTGGAATCGAGACACCGAGGACTACTCTATTGCGCAATCGACACGAAATTCCGGAATACACAAACGCTGATATAAACTATTTTTTACTCACGTGCTACGAGTAAATCTCGAGTTTCTGTCTTTATCTTTCGATCAGCCGCTGACGCGTTTATTAATGAGCGTTTTCAAAGCAGAGACGAGTTTCGAACGAAAATATTTTCTATTTGATCGAGATTCCTTGTCACCGAGCGCGCCAAGCGAGATTTCCGTGTAGCTTTCATTGATAACCTTAATCGGAGCTTCTTCCACGCACATGTCACAGTGTGGTAATCCTACAAATGTCTTCGTTTCGTCATTGATTCGACTGTTTTCACATCTTGTCACTTACCATTTGAAAGGAGAAACCAGAAGCGCGAGGATCGTAACTCCTCCGCAGATTGAACCTATTGGCAGAATTCAGCTGGAAAAATATGTTGCGTTTCGTAATAAGTGACACCTCGATATAGACGTAAACGTTCGCTGAATTGTATAACAGGAATTAATTGCGCGTCGTGGTGTTCGGATATTGAGATGTCTCATAAACTAAGGGGCAGCTTCCCACTTTAGTCTGCATGATTTCTAGTGAGACGTCATTAATCAATATTATCAATCATCCTAACATAATTACAATGTTATAAATTCTACTCTGAATTCACAGAAGACTACGAGAAATTTGTCAAAATAAACAGCTCCTTCCATTTATTAATTGCCGTGACTAATCGATTTGCATAAAAACCATGCTGATCACGGTTAAGAAATGCACGAGAGTCGACTAGCTTTTATTTCGATGCCTCTGTCGAAAAAACATGGTGCTTTACTACCGAAATGAACACGATCTCCTCTGGTGAAGTAAACCCCGTGCGAAATTAACCCGACGAGCGGAATCTGATCTGAAATTCGCGTATCGTGATGTGAGTTACGAGTAAAAAGAACTCGTTTCGAGTTGTTTTCGTTGTTACATTTACTTTCATAAACCGAGATTCAAGTAACTCTTGCGTAATAGCGGACCTGCGTGTGTCACGTTAAAGTGTATTGTATAATCTTTCGATTTTCAGCGCCAGAGTCTCGTTTTTCACGTGGCACGTTGAATAATCTTGCCTATCGAAGAAAGTTGGCTGCTCGATGGCCGTTCTCGCGGTGGCGAAAGATAACGAGCCAGATGGCACGCGTGTTACGATTGGCGTTCCCTCATTAATGTTGAAAAAGTTGTCAAAATTCGGTTAATTGGCTAGGGACTCATCATAAATTTCCGTGATCGGTTTGTCGACGTCGCAGATTTCAGCAACCAGCGTTTCCAATCCTTCTTCCCTTTCTAACTTTCCAATAAGTTTTAAACGAGTCTGCAATATGTAATTCAGCAGTTGACACTTTTTATTTACTCGTCCGACGAGTTATCACGTTTGTAGTACGAGTGGTGTGAGATTAAATAACGATTGACACTGTGCGAATGCTTGTAGCGTAGGACAGCGGTTGTTTGTTTGCATTAGGCGTGAATTTTCAATGTATACACGAATGTGCAGTTCGCAGCTCCGTGAAGGTCGGCAATTAAGGATCGCGTTAATTAGCAGTTCCTGCACCGTGATCGGTATGTGGCACCTGGCAGTGACAGCTGCCTCGCGTTACTTTCTAAAAATTAATAGCAGCTCGTATACGTTCATCGGTAAAGTGAACGGAGATGAATAGTATAATGCGAGATGGGTGGTACAAAGTCGATAACGCGATTGCAATTACGACCGTTATAATTATTCCGTGTTCTGAATGAAAAGATGTGACGAAATGTTTCAATTATACAGCGTGGCATCTGCGGATCTACTTAACGATGTATCGTCGATATATCATTCGCCGATCAGAGGATCGACGTTCCGCTGCGTTTTCACTAAAGTGTGAAACGTAGAGCAAGTTCCATGGGTTTCCATAGTCGAAGCCTGGATCTTCTAGGAACAATTGAGAGGAAAGCCTCCCATAAGCGGCTAGGAATCCGTTTCATCGAGTTCTTTCGTCAGCGAGGCGTTTTCCGGGAAGTCAACTCCCCTGTCTTTTGTTTGCGACTAGTGAAAACCTCTTTATCAGTTTGTGTGAGAAGATTATCGGGAAACTCGGTGAAAAGTTCACGCAGTGACCCACATTCTAGACACTTCGTGAGATCTTGGACAAAATTCAAACGAGGGATGTTCCCAGATGACGTTGAATCTCAGTCAAGGTCTCGAGGCGGGAACTTCGCGTTCCTTGGGTAGTCTCTGTACAATGAGGGATCAGATAATGTTCGCAAACCTATAGCGATACCTTGTCGCGCAAGGATGTGTCGAAATATTCCGTTCGTACATAATTAATACCAGCAAGTTCGCGTCGTGCCGACGTATTGCACGACAGTCCTGTAATCCGATTTTACGATCAACCGAGGTGTTCATGCCCCAGACGCTGTCATAGGATTTCGTGTGTTTCTGTTACGTTGCGTCAGTCCCGTCTCGCCGTGAATTTATTACGCTAGAACAGCACTGGTTTCGAGGAATCGGGCTCGATTCGAAGGTTCCCGTGCCGTTGGAAAGCAAAAAATCGAGGAAAGTAGTCGGACGACGCGACGCAATTTCTGCAATAATCAAAGTACCCATGAGTAGCTTAGCGATCATCCCTCCCACCTGTCGACGCAATGCGGCGAGGCTCTCGTGGAATAATGCTTGCGACAAAGAGCTGATAACTCGTTTCGCAGGAAGCTGACGCAGGGAAAGAATGATAGGCGTTTCTTTTTAAAAAAAACATTTATAAAATCAATTTATTTCACGAATCGTAGTTGCTACGATAGAAGTAGAACTTGTTTTGGTACGACGCTCGTCATGATGTCTTTTTGCGATGCTGCAGGGTGGGTGGGAACGAGGGTGAAAGGATGGCAGGTTGAGGGATAATTTCATCTAGTAGTGACCGTGTCCTCCGTAGCCCTTAACGATGACGGGTTGTGGAACCGCGACTGGAACCGCGTGGGGAACGGCGACCTGAAAATGATAATAAATTAGTATGTTAAATTAGTAAAACACAACGTGGATCGTGTGGCGATCGTTTCGACTTACCTTCACGGGGTATGGAGCAGGCACCGCGACCTGAAAATTATAATAAATCATTATGTTATATTAGTAAAATACAATGTGGACCGTGCGAAGATCGTTCGACTTACCTTGACGGGGTATGGAGCAGGCACGGGCACTGGAACCTTAACTGGAACCGAGACTGGGTAGGGTCTGTCGACTGGAACGGCGACGGTCTTGGTCTGAATCACTGGGTACGGTTGGGGAACCGGAACTGCCACCGGAACTGGGTGTGGAACCGCAACTGGTACCTAAAGATAAAGGAAAATATGGTTGTAAGTATCTTGTTTAATTGAGGGGCTATTTTCTTATAAATATAATGAATTACTCAAATTCTATTCAACAAGTCTCACGCGTTGTTATAGGTTAAAAAATAATTTTCAAAAGGAAACTTTGAAAAAATAATTTTCAAAAGGAAAACGCAATTAAAAATAAAATTATGAAAAGTCCTGCATTTTTGGGCCGAATAACAGATCTTGGGTGACAAGTCTCGTTTTGGTCGAACGGTCAACGAGCGTGAGGAGAGATTCAATGAATTTATGGAAACGATGCGAATAAAAGGAAAAATCGCAAGTTAACAGAGCGCGGCGAGTTTTGTAACAGCGCGTTGATTTCATGACGTAAATTTCATGCGTGTTCTTCTCACCTTAACTGGGACTGGACGGTCGACAGGGACTGCGTACGGTTGTGGTACCGGAACTGGGACAGCGACAGCCTTTTCCTGGACTGCGATCGCGATGCCATGTCCACCATGTCCACCATGTCCACCATATCCACCATATCCAATTCCGCTCCATCCACCCGCGCCGAGACCGAGCAGGCCGCGTTTCTGGACCGCTGCTTTGTCTTTTTCTTTGTTCTCCTCAGCGAACACCGCGCTGATCAGCAGTACACAAATCTTAAGGGAGAAATTGCGAAACGATTAAGGGCTTGGAATATTTTTCTCGTCAACAACGTCAGAGAACCGATACAGGAGATCTTTAAATGGTAATTAAGTTTCTACCAACGTTTGGATACACTATCGAATTACAAACAAAAATTGCAACTAATTTTTTCTCTATACATCATAATTTTACAGAGAATAAGAAACAATAATCTCTGGCACAATGCCGAAAAGTAAAAGATAAAATGTTCGACAACAAAGAGCGAGTTGGTCACGAACGAGGTTCATTCAGTTTCGTAGCCTATTCGAAACTTTAATTCAGATAATTTTGCTGGTATCTGCCAAAACTACATTTCTACCAAAAAGTGCACCGATTCCCGCGGGTTTCGTGACTCGATTGATCACTGAACGTGTTCCGACAGTCACAAAGAGACTTAACGATTACACGTACCAAGACCCTCATGATGGCCGGCCGATTACTACTTTGCCTAACGTGTCTTGAGTTGGTAAATTAAATTGTGTTCTGTTGCACCGGAGGAAAACCACCCTTTATATAGGGAATTCACTTTCATTCGTTGCGTACACCCCGCCAATCGAAAGCCAATGGCCGTTCGGTGTTCTATCGCCACACCTACCATACACTATTTACTCACGATCCATACGGCCACATACTCGTTACACATTACAATACATAATGTGCACGCGAGGTTGTATAATATACTAAACGTGAGTTGGCCGACTGGGGCTATAGTAAATAGAGCGCACTTTATGCAGATACATATGCGCGACTCTAACGAGGAGACTCGAAGCATTTAGAGAGAAAACTCGCGATCGTGAGACTTCCAGGGACAGGAGAAGCTTTTGCTCGGCGCAGACCGCAGTGGAACGTCCTATCCGCGGCTAGGGTTCTCTTTGTGACAAACATTCGTGCGTGGGGTGAACGATAAGTCTTCTTCGCTTCAATTTCAACGTCTCTCTACCTCAATCTACGTTAAAATTTGATTAATCACTTGTGGTCACGATTAAGGCATTCGCACCGTTGTGACGTTAGATAAAAGTCAGTAAGAAGTGTAGATTTTTCTGATAATAGGGATACACCACAGGTAATATTTATTTTCGTAACGTTTCAACCAAGGAAAAATCAAGATTAATTGAATTGCATACGAGTTATTAATTTCTGTGAAAAAGTCGCTCGAAGCAATTTTCAATGAACGTAATAGCAACCAATCGATCGGTAATGAATGTTGTAATTAATTGTGCAAAGTCGAAGCCGTGCAGGTTATCGCGACGAAATTATGCAACTGCTCGAAAGCAGGAAATTTTGTATATATAAATCTTTACGAGCATACCGGGAGATATTTCTACATTTCGTTCTCCGATAACCAGAAGATTTTCCAGTTTCGAGTCCGCGTTCCGCAGAAGCGGAGGCGGTACATCGAACATCATGAAAATCACTCGATAATTAATAACTAATTTTTTTCATCTTGTTTCTCAAGCTGAAACTTGCTTGCTATAGGTTTTTGTTGTTTCGATAAACTTGTGAACCACTCTAGACGTACATTTAATAAATTTCTAACAACGATCAGCGACGAATGGCTACGCGTTTGATCGATTACACAGCGTTCGTTCACCTGTGACTATTATTGTCGGAGCCGTGTATTTACCAGATACTATCAACAACTAGAATTACTCATATACGCCACCTACTGTAAGTGTCGTGGTTCGCGCAAGGTGTTCAACGACAATATTTTAGAATAATGTTTGTTAGATCTAGTTAATCTCCTTGTTCTAGAGCTTAATTATCGAATGTAAATTTGTCAGTGATTCGACGCAACGATTAATCACACGCCCATTATGGCATCGTGGGCCTCAGACTACATAGATCTCGCTTATTTAATCATTAAATAATCGCGAACCGCTTAGAGCAGTTCCGATTGAAGGCAACCTTATAATCGAGCGTGTGAAATGATCTATCAAGATTGAATTGACAGAAATGGCAGTTTGCACTACCGTTACTACATTGTACCCAACAACTCAATCGACTTTATTAAGTGGAAAGAAGTTCATTAACTTCAGCTTCAATTTAATACACGCGTTGTACATGTACCCTTACAGACGTTTAATAAGCAAATAAATAAATGAAATACACCTAATAGAATATTATCTTGATCGCGAAATGTCACTTAAAATTTGGAGTATTTTAGATCTTCAAGTTTTACCCGTCATCGACGTGCAGCTTTTCAATGTTAATTGTGACGGCTGCTCGACGTTTCACGCGTCATTGTTTGTCATTGCGCGGCTGGGTTTCGAAACTGACGTGAAAAACAAAAAATGAAAACCTCGTCATCGGTAAACCGAAGCCTAGAAAGCGTGACGTAATACGGAGTTTCAAACACCTGCCTGGTCGATTGAGAACGAAACGGGGTAACTCGGAGTATTATCGGTCGCGATCTCGTTGATTTGCACGCAGATCGACGTTTCACAAGCGATTTCTGTGACGCGCATGAAACGCAAATTAGAATTACCTTGTCAATCTGCGCATTACCATTGGTAGTTAATTGTGAAAACGATCGCGTTTTTGCTCATTTCCCGAGGACACGCGCCTTATCCCCATTTCGCACCTTTTCGTTATACTTTCTTCAGTTTCATCGTATAGACATATTATACGAACGTAATAAAAATCACAAAGTAAATCCTTCGAATGCGTCGATGACTGGGTTAGCGATCAAATTAGGCCACTCGCTTTACATGCTTGGAAAAAAGTGTACTATCGTCACATTCTAGCAAACAGGTTACAGATAATATATTCCCCACCGTGTTTACATTCAACTTTTACGCCAAGAATTCATGAACGTATTAATTAACGTGCTTCAAGAACACGCGCGACAACTCGGTAGCAACTTACTTGCGACGCAATTTCGAATTATAAATTCCACTCGTTAGGTGTACGTAAATCCCGAATGGATTACTGTTACGTTTATGGATCGCAATTACAGAAATACTCTTGAACGTTCAACGACTCCTGCGGGCTAGTTTGCGTAATAGTCCAGCTCCGATGACTGCTTAACGTCATTTAAGTACTGTACGCAACGCGTTTCCATAACTCGATTTATTTTACCGAGCTATAAATTTATCGATTCCTCGGGAGCTTATCCTGAATTACCACGATAAAGACATGTTCCTTATTACAAAATTCCTTGCGTGGCCGGCGCGCGCGCGCATGACTCACGATTGTTGGCGTTTAATTGCTCTTGTGGCTCGAATGCTTTTAACGCATTACGTACCGCGTTCGTAATTAGTGCGTGCTCTCGCGTATGCACGGAATCCATTATCCCTTTTTGTTCCTTTTTTTAAACGAGTATGGGACAATGTCTACCGCTTCGCGTCCATTTTATTCCCTCCTCTCGTTCACTACGCTCGATGTAACAGATAAATCCCTCAGCGAGGTGACGTATTCGTTTCTTTTTTCCAAAAATGGAATCTATGTCATAGCTTAAATAGATTAATATTAAAATAGCGTCTCAAGGTAGCAGTACCAACGTAGATTCAGAGCCCCTGTCCGGTTTACCCTTTTTCTACGCGCTATCTAGCACATACGAGCGTTTTGTATGTTTCGAGACCCCGCGCGGGAACGTAGCGCGCACATCGATCTAGAAAACTGGTTCGAGATTTCAATATCGAGCTAGCTGCAGTGACGTCAATCGTATTGGCCTCTCTGGAGTCGTGCCTCCAGATTCCCCTCTGGTTTTGATCAGAACCAGATACCGTTGGGATCAACCGAGTGGAACGGTGTTTATCCGTCACATTGTATATTCGAATCACGCTGTGCAAATTGCAACAAATGAAAATAGACATGTCTGATCGCTTTACGACTCGTACCCTGCGAACTTCCTACCAAAGCTTGCGTTTAGTATGAATCCGACGCAAGGGAGCATCCTCAAACGTTTGTAATTACAATTGTAATTGTATGAAAAGTAATTGAGGACACGTACAAACAAGTTAATAAACGATTAAACACCGATATGAGTATAATCGGAAGTCGCGAAACTTGGACTTTCTATCGCAAAACGTTGCCCCACTTGGATTTCGAGTTTCTTTATAGTCACGCGTGCACGACTGTTTCCTCATTCTGATTATTAATAAACTTATTCGATTAACGAGGTAGTTTTACGAAGTATATCGCTGCAAAATATCTGCGTTACACGACTTTCAGGACTTTGCATTTTATGATATACACGTGGTTCTATAATTGTACGGATCAGTCTGTGGTTTTCATCGCGACTTGTATCGTTTAGTACGCAGTTGCTTGTAAACGTGCAAGCTGTTTTGTAATTCATGCGAAATTAACGATCATAGTGATTATATTGGCGTCACAGCCGAGCATAGTCGTACGTCATTTCGCTTTCGTTCGCATGTTGTGTGTGTCGGTTACTGCGCGATACGGATCGAGGATCTGCGAGGGCTTGCATCTTTGGTGGGTCGTTCACGTTGCCGAGGTAGGTATTGAAAGAGACATTCGGTTACAGTAAAGAAACAAGAGCCATTCCAGAGGAACGCAGTCCAGACCAAATACAGGAAGGCGACAGGCGACTGGGAGAATAAAAGGACGAATTCCTGCTGATCCTTTTGCAGCTCTCACTTTCTGCCGGTGGTACGCCGGGTGAAAACAGTAACTGTGCCGCGTTGATATCAAGATCCGCCTTACGTAACGTGAAGTAACGCACGAGTAAGACTGGTTCGGGGCTCCTCGGTCCTCGGTCGTTTATGACTGTTCTTTCCCTTTGCGATGCAATATCGTATACCCTGTTCCTGGAAAATCCTTACAGATAAGTCTAATGAAAGTAAATCAACTAAATGAAAGTAACGGAGTCAAAGGTACCACCTACGCATCATGTAAGTCGCGTCTACAGATACTATTCTGTTGAATCATACAAGTTTGAAAAATTCTGCGAAACTGGTTTTACCTGAGTCGCGGACACGGTAAGGTTGGCGAAATAGAAAAAGTTCCCGGACGAAAACTAGGCGATGATTAATGCTCGAAAACTGTTCTTTCGATTTCCTGGGTTCCCTGAACAATTATATAGTTCAGGTTAAATAATGGTAGGTTTCAGTAATCGCTCTCGAATTTATTTAAAAAAGCGATGGAAAGGAATTTTCGGTCAAACAACAGGATTTAACGTGTCAGGGCAATAAAACGCGGACTAGTTTCCAAACAAGGGAAATCATAGACTCTTGATAGACAACACGTCAATGCAACGCTGTGTGGGTGCAAAATCTAGGCGATAAATATACGTGAGAAATTTCACTGAAACGGTACACACCCATTTCAATGGCCTGTCGAACATTCGGACAACGTACTTCCAGATTAGGGCGCGGTATGCGTGCGAAACGGATCCTAATACTACTCGTAGATAGTTATGTCATCGATTTAACGAGACTGGAGACAATTAAAAACGCCATAACGCTGATATTATCACCCATTACTCATGGTCCAGCGTCAGCGCTGACCCCTTATCGACAGGCTTCTTTTGCCAAGATTCTCGTAGATAACTTACGAGGTGTAATTATTCTCGTGGCGAAAATGACGTAATATTTAACGCATATTAGCGGGGTTTTACCTGTGAAGTGATACAGTTCGAAACACTTTTCAGCGAGTGTTCAAGTACATCATCAGTCGCAGAAGAAATGAACAACCCTGAATTTATTAGGTGCTAATGTTAGTCTCTTTGATAATACAATACAACGAGGAATTACCGCTCCAGTTTCTCTGTACGTACAATTTGCATTCAGTCGAGCGCTACGCACCGATAGCGTAAATGTCAGAAATGAAAGATTATAGATGGTTGATCGATTGCGTGGCACGGGACTTTTATCACTGGACGATAGTCTGTTGGCAGTTGAAACCTGTCGACGGCTTCATTGGCTAAGCAGGAGGGTCACCAGCGACAAGAAACAATAGCAAGGCTAACTGCGAACGCGGCAAGCGTTAATTCCAGCCGACCATGGCAGAGAATTTCTTGTGGTAGGTCACGGACCATGAAGATTAGTTATACGAGCCACGAAGAGGCGCCTCGGGCGTTTCGAGCCGACGGTAATTCTCGTTTCGCTGGATTACATGATCTCAGGTTGCCCGAGGATACGAAACCACCGATGGGAAAAGACGATAAATGGCTGGACTGGATGCGCGGCTTTTCAAGATCAATGTTAATCGAACGTGATGATACTTTCTCCAAAATTTGCTACAAATTACAGAATATCAGACACGATGATAGAGAGCATGTTCGCTAATTAATAGCTGAACCAGTACGAACAGCATAACATCTAATTACTCCAGGGAAAAATGAATGGCGATTCAAACGTGTTATTGGCATTGAAGGCTTGTTAGTCGCGAGTAATACTAATTACCAGGTCTCGCTATGAGGAGATAGTATAACATCTCTCCTACATGAGGATCTAAAGAATTTAGGATGCTCTGTACAACGTGGGTTACTTGGCTCGAACTTTGAATATGTAACTTGGAAGCTGACACTCTCTGAATCTTGTACGTCGTGTTGCGTGTCACCCGTTTCATAAGAGCGCCGACAAAAAGATCTTTACGGGGATCGGTATATCGGCGTTCGATAATCGAATAAGGTGCCGCTTGTGCAACCATTACTTCTAACGATGTTTCCGTTCGATTCCCTCGTTCAAACATGGATACCTCTGCGAAACTATCGATGGTAGGTGGTGATAAAAACGAATCTGCTGCGCAGAAATTGTGACTGTATAATTAATAACGCTAATGGTTTCGCGCGAATGAATGTGAAAAATTTTCCTGAAAAACGTGTCGAACGTCACATCGCATTCTACGAAATATTTATCCTACCTTTACCTAATCGTAACCTCCAGAGGATACCACTCGCGTTTAGTCGATCCAATTCACGCAGTTGTGCGGCAAGTCTAACAGTACGAATTCCGGCATTGATAACACTAACGATATATAACTTTGTTCAACCAGGGTGGCGAGCTCGAGGAATGCGTACACCACCGTGGATAGTAAAGTGTAGCATTCGCAATCGTGTACCTGACCTCCGATAAGCTGAATGTGGATCGAGCATTATCATTGCGAGCAGTAACCTAAATAGCCAACGC